AGTAGTGTATAGAAACGTTATAAAACATATCTCTAAAGTATAATTTTTTTAAATTTATTTTTTAGCGATTAGTAATTTATTTACTTGAAATATTTGTTGACAGCAAGTAAATAATTAATTAAAAAAATAATCATTTGCTTCCTTTTTGAAACGGCAATAAAAGGAAATTAAATAATGGTTTTGAGTCTAAATTGAAAATAAAGCAAGTTGGATCTTACGCGTGGTACGTGCTACAAAATAACATTTAAAGCGGTCAGGTGGCAGCAGCACGCAAGCGTGCAGCAAGAGATCAAATTTCATTAAAAAAATTCTTAAATTAATAATTTTTTCTGTTTACGCAACTTTAATCATGTTTTATATTCGAGTGTTCCGCAAATAATTGTGTTCTGCAAATATTTTTAACTTGATATCAATCATAAAATATGGGGAAACAGTGATTCAATCGGAATGAATACAACAATCTAAGTCATTAGTAAAAATAATTTTTGCGAGCTTATGATAATTGTTAAACCTATCCTTGCAAAGAGACGCTAAAATATAGAATAGAATGATTTTAATATAGAACTGTTTTCAAAGTCAAATATGCCCATCAAATTTTTATGTGATGAATAAACTGGAATTTGGCCTAAATTTTTTTTTGTTGTTGCTTTATTTACCTGCCCTCTCCAAATTGAAATAATAATATGAACTTAGTGTGTAAGCAATACACGAAACAAAACTCAGAAAATCATAATTATTTAAAAATAATTGACGTTATCTAAATTTTATGAAAATTTATTTTAAGCATTTGAATATGTTCTTTTGCGGTTGTCCAGCCTAGTCATTTCCATAAGTCGATGACCCCGTAAATCTTACAACGACTGCGTGTAAAACAAGACAGAATCTTTGTTAAAAAAAGAATTTCAGGCAAGTGTGAAGAAATACTATTTCAAAAATATTGGTATGTTTATTGGAGGGGGGAACTGTGATTTTTATCTTGTTTGATCTTTAATAAGCGGAATTAATGTTTAATAAGCGTTCGGAGCGCAAATAAACTATGAATTTTTTTTACTGCGTATTTCTTAGATTTAGTCTTACTGTTTCCTTGTACACCAGCAATGTCTTAATTTGATTGTGTCCTTCGAAATCTGTCTGAACTGTCTACCGGAAATTAAAGGCTAAGATAAATGAACACATTTATTTTTTCTTTTTGTTTCCTGCCTGTCGTAACAAACATAAGCAACAATTTGGCGAAACGCCTTCTTATGAAATCAGTTTTTCTTTTGCTTGGCGCATTTCTCATTTCAATTAATAGCAGCGAGGAAATGCGAGAAAAAAAAAATTAATTAACCTTTTTTTTTGCTACCATTTTCAATAAAAAATTTTTTTAAAAAAATATTTAAAATATCTTTTCACTTAGTTATTACAAATATTTGAATAATTTACTCAACTTCAGAAGGATTTAAAATAATTTTTTTTACTTTTTAAATCTTAAATATTTTAAACTAATGTGTCTTTTTAAATATTTCTTTCAAAAATGGATTAAATAGTGTCTTAAATGAAGGGGACAGGAATGGTATCCTTTATCCAGAATTTTGTTCTCTTATAGAGTGTTTCGTAATTACCTCCCTTCATAATAGCCCATTAGTGATGCTCTAGTGCGACGCTAACAACCAAACCTTCCGTAATGTACGTTTTTTAAATGCTTGTCGAAAAGGAAGTAAAATTGCCACTGTATTGTATATTATACGTCTTTCAATATTCTTAATTTTAAAAAAAAAATGAAACCCCTATTGTTCAAAAGCAAATTCTTACATATTGAAAAATTTCAACGCTTAAGATTTAGTGTAGACTTTACAGTAATTCATAAGGAAAAAAATTTCCAAAAAGATCATTAATTATTTTCCATTAATGGAAAAATAACTAAAAATATTGACATTCTAGCGTTAGTGATAAGTAATGATTTAAATAATTGTCATAATATTCATTCGATTAATATTTTTGTTTATAATTGTTAATATTTTTGTTAATAATTTTGTTAAGAATGCATAATTATAAATATTTTTCTAGATAATTTCCATAAGATCTAAATCATTTTTTTTTTGTCCACTTTTAGTCGACACGTTTAACTAACCGGAGTCGAGCAATTTTTTCCAATTCCAACTCCTGCAAAATCGACTCCAACTTCATATCGCTCATTTGGTGAAACAGTGACGTAACTGATAATTACTCTATTTAGGTTGATTTTGCAGTTACGTCATTGTTTCACCAAATGAGCGATATGTGGAGGAAAAAAAATTTCGCAAGAGAGAAAAATTTCGCAACTGATTTAAAATTTCTGCAGGTGGCCGGAGAGCGATAAATCGCCAAAAATAGATAAAAGCATTTCGTTTTGTTTTCATTTGATGCCTATGTGCTGCCATCTAGTGAATTTATTGCAAACTAAACTTATGATTCATTTGTAATTTGGTTTCATTTATTTATATACACAACCTTTAAATAAAAATTTCACAAAACATATGCAACAGATTTTATTTAAAAAAAATATTTTATAGTTTTTCACAATGGCGCACTTTTCAAATACAGCAAAGCCTGATAACATAAATATTTAACATTATATAAAGTAAAAATAATTTTTAAACTTTAAAGCAATATTCATAAAAAATAAAAAATAATTGAATTTTTTAAGCAATATATTTCTCTTCGCTAGGTGAAGTAATAGGTGAAGCTAGGTGAAGTATCTCTAATTAGGGGTCATTTTGGGAGATTTTTGGAGCCATTTACAGGACCCTACACAAATCTTTTCTGCTGAAAAATTGCTCAAAATGATGTCTTTAATTCCTAATTTTTAAACTAAATTTCTGAGAAAGCTGTTTCCCCCTTCATTAAAATTCAGTTTTCCTTTATATTCACAAAATGATGAGTAGATTTTCGTGAATTTCGCAGCGAGAATTAGTTATAATTTATTGCCTAAGAAATAAGAATAAAAGTCAACAAACTCAAAGTTTTTATAGTTTTTCTTTTTATTAATTATTACTTTTTTAACCTAAAAAAAGAAATCCTTTTTTATTTTCCCCTGTAATATTTGTTGAAATGCATGATACGTAGCACATTAAAAAAATATCTTAAAATATTTTGGATAAAAACCACTTTTTCTTTTAAAGTTTAAAAAATATGTCCCCAAAAATGTTTCAATAGATATTATTAAAGGCATATATATTTCCTGCCTTTTAATAGTTTTATCACATAATTCTCACTTTGTCTTTTCTAATAACACCAAGATTAAGAGAATTTGTTTATACATAAAAAAGTTATTATTGGTAAGAACACATGAGCAAACTTTCTCTAGTTATGCTAATTTGTTAAATTGAGTAAAATGGTCCCCTTATCATAGTTCTTCACTTTAAAAATTATTTAGTTCTTTGATCAAAATATATATATTTTTTTTACAAAAAAAAAAACTCTGCAGCATAGCATCAAGAATTTTTTTATTTTGGCTTATTTCAAATCGAATGATATATACGCACACCAATATATAAATATACATTTGAAAATTCAAGATTATTTTCAGTTTTGCTATTTAAATCTATAAGTCTATTTTTCGTTTTATTTTTTTTTAATTACTTTGTTTACAATCTTATTTTTTTATGTACAAAATTTTCTTTTCTTCAACATTTTCATGAATATTTTCATTATTTGTTTATTGTTATTTGATTTAACATTCTTTCTTCTGTTTTTACATTCTTTATTTTTATTTATAACTTTATTTTCATTATTGGTATTATTGCAATCTTTAACCAGGATTTCAGGAAAAATGTGCAAGGACAAATTGCTTTTACAAACAGAAAAGATGATCAGTCTTCTCAGATTTTACATTATAACTTGTTAAACAAAATCAATTACCAATTGAAATAATTTACAAACTTTTAAACTCAGTATGGCGTAAGGTGGTAAATCAGTATTTAAAATATAAAATTCCACCGACCTTGCTATATTTCCGAAATTGAAATTTTTATACCTTAAAAAAAATTTATTTTTTCTTGATAAAAAAATTAGCACACTCTTAACAATGTTTTTTGGTTTTCATTTATTGTGGAGAAAAGTACCTGCATATAAATTTATGTTTCTTCCCTGGTTAAAATATAAAATTTAAATCTCTCCACTAGAATTTTTCAAGTCTATCTGATGATGTATGTGTTTAATTGGTAATATTGTAAAAATGATTGAAAGAATGAGAAAGAGAAACTGTTTGTGTTCATTTTTCCCAAAAATGACTATTGGAACGTCACCTGTTGCATTTTGAGGATTTTGACAAATCAATAACTTGGAAAACCTATTCTCCCCCAGAATCTTTTCTCAGCATCAAAAATTTTTTTATTTCATTTTGAAATTTTTGGGCGATATAAAGGCTTGTGACATCTAGTATAATTTTATTTTGTGCATCACTTGAATCTTAAATGTTTGCTCCTGAAAAGTCTCAAACCTTGAAATTCGTTTTTCTCAGAAATCAGCTTTCAATGGTATAAACCTATTTTTCACCTTTATCTTCATCGACAAATTCCTTATATTTTTGGTCTAAAAATATTTTTTCTCTATTTCGAAAATCATCAAATTATATTAATGCTGTGTAAAAAGAGAAATAAACGAATAAAATGTTTTAAATATAAGAACCACGCCAGTACCATGAATGTGCAAAAAGTTACTACTGAAATAAACACATTTATGAAACATGTTCTTAATGTAGTGCAATTGGCCAAAATATAAATAGTATGCTCTTAGGTGAATATTGTTACATGTTGCGTGTACATGTTCCATGTTTTACTTACGTATCACATACAAGTTTTTGGCGTATTATAATTGGCCTTAATATGAATAAAATATTGGTAGTTTTTATATTTAAAGAGCACTAAGTAAATTTTTATTTTAAGAAATATATTTTTTACTTAAAATATATTCACAACTTAATATTTGATGTATTTTTGTTTTTGAAATCTTATAAATTTTTTCTTTTATTATTGCAGGACCATTATGTAAATGGCTTGACAAGATAAAAAATAGTTTGGTATCACCAACCTGTTGTTACAAAAAGATGTTCATTAGGTCATACAGATGTTGTCTTGGAAGTATTGTTATATGTTTAAAAATGTGTGAATGGGGTCCACTTGAAATGGTGCACTTATGTTCATTGCCTTAATTATGGAATTAGGCTACTCTCATTTTATCATAAGCAAGTTTTAACAAAGTTTCTCACAGCTCTGACAAATTTTCCTTGTGATAAATATGTGATCATTAATTTATTAAAACAAGTGTTGTTAATTTTCAAGTTTCTCTCCACTTGAATGAACTGTTCCTTTTCAATTCTCCTTTATCCTATAAGCTATGGTGAAATTTGCTTTATTTTTCATAGCTTCATTTCAGAATTCATGTGCAGTAACAATGTATTTACCGATTCCTAAAGCATAATGCTGTCCTTTTTCACCATATCCCCACATTGCTTTAAGAACTTAGATTCCCAGGAATGTCACATCTAGGTTCAAACGAGTCAAGCAAAGGGGAGAAGACACAGAGCCATGTAAATAACCAATCTCAACGTGGTTACTATAATGAGAGCTATAATAGAGCAAACCATGAAAGAAATTTTAGGGAAAATGTATCAGCTAAAGAATTAGTTGAATCTGAGCAAAGTCATGATCGTGAGCAATATCATGCTTTAAGTAGTGGTGCACGCCATCCAGAATTATTAGCTCATGAGTCAATGAACCCAAGTGTAGCAGCATCTCATTCCGCAGCTGTAGCATCCGCTGCAGCTGTTTATCCTAGAGTGATTTCTCAGCCAAATCGTGCTATACCTCCGTCACATTTTGAGTCATATGGTCTTTCTTCGCATGTACCACCTAACCCTGCAACATCTACTGGTCACCATCATTCTGCACCCATTCATTCTTCAGCACACAGACATTTGTTGCCTCATCATGCTTTGATACCTGCTCAGTTTAATAATTCTAGTGGACCATCACATATTGGAGTTGACATCATGTGGCAACAAAAGATGAATCCCAATCCTTGGATGATGGCAGCTCACTATGGTGAAATGTCTCTTGAAAGAGAGAGAACATTAAATCAAGAAAGATCAATTAATCAAGAAAGAGAAAGATCAATTAATCAAGAAAGGGAAAGATCAATTAATCAAGAAAGAGAAAGATCAATTAATCAAGAGCGGGAAAGGTCAATTAATCAGGAGCGAGAAAGATCATTGAATCAAGAAAGAGAAAGGTTTGTTTTTTGCTCTTCATTGTTCAAAATTGTTCATACTAAAATATGATCAGTTAACTTAGTTATGAAGAGAATATGACATATTGTAGTATATGATCAGTAATTTTTAATTAATGTATTTAATTATTTCTTGTTATTACATACTCCCAAAGGCCAACATGTATGATCCCTACTAACCATAGTTTGCATTTAAGCCTTATTCATTTTAATTAAACTTTTTGAAATTTAACCTTGAAGAGAAAATTAGTTTTTTTTAGCTACCTTTGAAAAGAAAAATATATACATCAATCGTATAAATACTAAAAAACTAAATTTCTATTTTTCTTTAATGAAAAAACTTTGCATTCAAGCAATTATCAGTCATATCGACATTCTTCTTTTAAAGGAGCTTATATTTTTATGTCAATAATTTATTTTGTTGTTAAGTTCATCAAATCAATAATAGTAAAAAAATTTAATTCAAATTTTAAAATAAGTTCTGTACTTACACAGTTTTACACTGATTGAAAAAATTCATAACCATTTTTTCTGAAATGTACATTATAGCTCCCTCTGCAAGATCATTTTGTGTCACAATTGAAAATAACATCTGTTACTCTAGGATTTGACTGATTAGAGCAGCACAACCATATCCTTTCGTTTTTCGTTGTCAAAATATTTTTAAAAAAATCTTTTTAATATCAAATCAGATCTCCTTAAATCCGTACTTTTGACTTTTTCTCCATTAAAGCACATCCATATTTTTGAATAGGGAGAGAAAGTTGTTTCTGAAGAAGAAAGATGTGCCTCATTCTTTAATCTTTTCGTCACTTCAAAATTTTTCTTAGCCCCCCTTATGATACAGCTGCAAAGATTTCTTGTAAGATTTATCAATGTAAGCTTTAAAGGCAATAATAACAACTGTGATTTCAAAGGCTTTAGCATTAAAAATCGAAATTCTAGAAACTATTTTGAAGTACAAATAAACTTGGTTGTCATTATCAGCTTAGTAAAGCACATTGTATTAAACTTTGCTCTTAAAGTTAAATTAATTACTATTAAAAAGTTTTATAGTTTGATGAGTTGTTTGTATAAAACTTTGTTGTTATTATTATTAGGACGTGGCGGTGACTACAAAATGAGCCTCTTTAGCCCAAACTCACATTGATTAATGAGAGAACATTGTACCTGTGTGTGTATATATATATATATTTAAATTTATAATGTCTTAAATTTTAGGGAGCATGAGCGAATGGAACGCCAGAAAGAAGATAAAGAAAGACACAGAGATTGGGACCAAGACCGCCTTGAACGTGAAGAAAGAGAAAGAGCACAAAGAGAAGCTGTAAAGCAGCATTTTGAAGAATCATTACGCTTAGTTTTACAAAAAGTACTTTCTTTTTATGTTTTGTTTCAAAATAAGTTATTGCTAATTAGATTATATAGAATAAAATGATAAATCATAAAAGCATTAATATTTTTTTTAAATTATTTTATTTTACATAATACAAAAATGATTTTTTTTTTTTAAATTTAAATTACAGATTTAAATATGATTTAACTAGCTTACTAACTTTCTTAAGAAGCTTATATTAAGTAAGCATGGTTTTATTAATCAAATGTTTATACAATTTGAACAGTTGCTTCAGTAAAATTATATCAACTTAATTCAATTATATCAGATGAACTCCACATCTTTTATCAAACTTATGACTTTACACATTCAACTAGAAGAGTAAAGTTCCAAAGAGTAAGTTTCAATGAGGAAGAACCACACTACTTTTGCTGTACAAACACTTTATTATTAACTATCATGCAAAATATTTTTTTTTCTTTTCAGCTTTTGTATTTCACTCTCTCTCTTTTTTTAATAAACTTATTTTTTAATGTGCTCTATGTAGATTTTTTAATACCTGATTTCTTGTGGATTTTGCTTATAGTCTGTACTTGTTAATGATGATTTGTCAAAGCATCTTCTTGCTAATGATTTGCATGTCTGTGGGTTCATGTTTGATGAGAATAATAGCTCTTATATAAGTAACAGTTTATTTAATTTTAGATTACTTGTATATTTTCAAAGAGACCCTCAGACTTGTGGTTTAATTTTGCTAAGTAATTTATAATTTTTTTTGTATATAGTAAATGAGTAATGTATAGTTTATAATAGATAATTTTTTTAAAATTTAATTTCACATTTCCTAATTCTACTCTTTTCTTCTAGAACAAAAATATGGGTTGGAATCCTTCAACTGGGAAACATGGTGTTGGCAAGCAACAAGACAGCATGATAACTATGCAAGGCAACCAGCCTGTGCGTACCACTGATAGTGATCGGCAAAAAGAACAGGAAAAAGAAAGGTATTTTTCCTTGAATTTTTCTATTTTACTTCAAATAAAGTTTATTGTATGAATTAAAATGAGTTAAGTATTTGATTATTATTCACCATTTTTGACTGAGCCTTTGTGACAATTAACGATGTCCTTTCAAATTTTTTTTTCAAAAAACTTTTTGATCTAAAAACTTTAAGAGCCAACTCACAAAGAATCAATAATCTTATTTTCAAAAAAATTCTCAGAAGTTAATTATAAATTAAAAAGAAACATGTATTGCTTACAAAGACTATATTGTATTAGCACATTAATAATAAAGTACGATTGACTATCATAAAAGTTTTGTTATTAAAATAAATTTCATCTGTTGTTGGAAATCAAGATTCTTTTAAAAATATTTTTTACATTCAATATCTTTTAATTTTCTTATGTTGTCATTTTTTTTTCTAAATTGATAAAGTTTCTTATTTTTAATTAGAGCGCAATTTGTGGAAAATAGTCATCGTCGAGAACACGAAAGGTGGTTAGCCCTTATGCAACAACAACAAAGAAATGAGCAATCTGCTAATGCTGCTGCTCATCATCAAAATTTCTCAGCCATGGAAGTAAGTAGTTTTTTTTGTAATTATAATTTTAATAAATTAATTTTACTGATATATTGTACTTATCCCAATGTAAAAGAGAATAAATACAAAAGGGTGGATTAATTTTTGTAAGATTGAAAAGTTTTTGAAACATATTGGCAATGTATTTTTTTTCCTTAGGAGTTAAATTTTTTAATATATTTTGATTTTCAGACATTTGCTTCTCTTACATCCTTATTCTCTTAAATCCCGTGGTATTTTGATTTCCCTAGTGACTGGATTCAGCTGGTTGTACACACTGCTACTTAAATTAGAATAATTTATAAATGCATTTAAATGTGTTATCTTTAAAATTTTATTTTCAAATGTATCAGTCTTTGAAATATTAAAAAAAAAAAATTATGTTAAAGTAAATCAATATTTATTTATGACTTCTTTTTTTTTATCTAAAAAATCCTAACAATAACTCTTAAGGCATATCAGTTCTTAAATCATTTGAATCCCCTCATTGCAAATATTATATAAATAAAAGAAAATTTTAATACATGCCTTAGTGGTTTTTAACATGCATTTTGATTATGAATTTATTTTATTTTCAACCCTATGAGAGAAATTTATAGTCAATGTTGCAATTTACTTAAAGAATAATCACCAAATTTAGCTTCCTTCTTTTTAATTAATCTGATGTACCACCATTTTCTGTTCCTTTTTTATATTTTTTATTTAAGTACACTAAACACTTAATTATTTATGAGCAATTTATCTACTTTGTGGACAATCCACTGTTCTCCTTTTTTAATTTGCTATATTATGGTTTAAAAAAAGCAATAAGGATAAATTTTTCAATTAGATCGCATCTAAATTTGCAATGCACATGTAAATACAGTCAGACCTCAATATAAGGTCACCCTAAGGGGCATCGCAAAAGTGACCTTATAAGCGGGGTGACCTTTAAACCGATTCATTAGCAGTTCGTAACTAAGCACGTAAATAGTACACATTATGATTTTTCGAAAATGGTAATACAAACGAAAACGATCGGTCATAAATTAAATATTTAAGTCAATAAATTTTAACAGAATTAGTAAAGAATTAAAGAAAGTTAGATTTAAAAATTTTTTTTAATTTGAAATAAAGCTGTTTACTAATTTCCTCAAAGTGTACATACATACATTACATATTACCTTATTTAAAATAATCATTTATGCAGGTCCGTTTCGTTTTTGGTTTCATTTTTCCAACAATGTTTTCTAGATTTTGTAACTTCTTAAAATGTTTCTCAGCATGGTTTAAAAAAAAATTTTGTATGACATTTATTGCATTGAAGGCTTCCACTTGGGTTACAGCTACAGTCTCAGGATCACTGTTATTGTCCTCACTGTCCACAACTTGTGAAACAATTTCAGAAATTGTAGCTTCTTTGTTAGCTGCAACATTTTCCTAGAACTCGAGAGGGGTAATTGCCTTGTAAGGAAGTTAATAGGCTTTTGTTAGAAAAGAGCTCCCCTCGCCTCAGATAAAAATGACCTTATAAGCGATAACAATTTTTAAAGCTTGACCATATATCCGATAAGCTGTAACAAAGAAGTCCTATTCAGTGAGCCGGGACTTAGGAAAAGTGACCTTATATGCGGGGTGACTTTATATGCAGATGATCTTATATCAAGGTCTGACTGTATAAGGATTGCTTAAAAATTAAAATATCAAATTAGAAAATGTATGCCTCAACTATGATTTGCAGGTGTAGAAGCATAATTGGACGTACATTTTAATGTTAGATTGTGCTGTAAATGATATAACTTGTAAATAGTATTGAAAACTGTAATTGACTCTGATAGTAAGTGAAAGATTGTCCTTCACTATACATATAAGTAACTCAAATATATTTTAATACATGTTTTTTTGTTGACCTGTTTATTATCAGTAGTGGCTACCCAACTCTGGAAAAAAATTTTTTTGTTCTTTGCATTAATTTTTAAACTTTCTTTATTTCAATATTTCTCCTTATGTAAAATTACTAATTTGCAATGGCTCACCAACAATGTAAAAAAACAAACAAACCGGTGTATATTCATTAATTTGGAAATTTTTAGGCTAGATCAGGAAGAAACCCTCCAAAATCTGAACCACAATTAATGCAAGGCCAAAGACCAACAGTAAAACAAAATTTGGCTCCAAGTCCTGTTAATGCTTCACCATCCCAACTAAAGAATGAAGTTAATTTCAGTTTGTATGGCTATCAACCAGTGAGACAAACTTACATTACACCAGCACAATTGAAAGCCAGAGAAGAAAAAATAACAGCCAGGTTATTATGGTTCTATTTTTTTCCCTTGTGTTTTTCTTTATTGAAGTATAAATAAGTTTTAATCTTGATTTATTTTCTTTTTAGTATGCAGAATGTAAGGATACCTAGTGGACAGCATAAAGCAAACTTACCGGTGAAAATTGAGAAAGAAGATTTTGCTGAGAGACCTTCATCCCCCAACTCGAGTCATTCTTCATCCAAGCATCAACAGAAAGTAATGATACCCAGTCATGATAGAAACAATTTAATGTATCAACCTCTTGTAGGTTCTGGTGGTGCTTTTAAACCATATGAATATTCCAGTAATAGTAATAGTCCAGCACCTCCTGCACATCAAAATACATCGCCAGCCCTCTTAGGGAGAATGGGAACAGCTCAGTATCCTCCATTGCAAGATCAGCCTCAAAATTTGGTAAAAAGTGATGGTAAAAGCATTCACGAAAAAATGCCGAGCCACAAGTATGAGTGTAGAGACTTGAAACCAGTTGCTTCTGCTGCTGGTACGTTACCTGCTGGTTTTTCTCCACCTTATGGAGCTTCTAAAAGTACATCACCTGCTACAAATGCAACTTATTCATATAGTCTTATTCAGCAAGGTTTGGTTCCTAATCCAATGTATATTGCAGCCACACATTCTGTAAATAATGCCGGTGCCAGCACTCCCGCTTCTTTTGCCTATTCCCAGTCTTCTAAAACTTCTGTGCACCCAGCCAGTCCTCCTATTTCCCAACAATATGCTCGAGCTAGCCCGAATTCAGGAATCTCTAGTGGCTCTCCTGTTTGTCGACCCAGTTCTGTACCTTACACTTTACCATCTGTTCGAGTCAGTCGCAGTTACTCACCTGTTGGTTCTTTAAATTCTTCTGGAATTGGGAACGCTAATAAAGGAATTATTCCACAAGATCCACATTTATCTAATCGAGCTCATATTTCAGTTCAAGGGTCTAGCCATAGATCTCCTTCTCCAGCTCATACATTTGGACAGCAAACTAATCTCGGTGCTCCTAATTCTCCTCATCAGTCATCTACTCGAATGACAAGTTTAGCCAGCCAATCTTCTATTCATTTGTCATCTGCAAACACTATGCCATCTTCACCATTTCATTCTAATTCTCAACCAGAAACTTCTGAAAGTTCTGGTGTTCCATTGGTCAAAAGGAAGTTATTAAATGATGTGATTTCTAGAAAAAAGCCAAAACAAATTGATGATAGTCTTTTACCTCCCCAACTGCAGCCACAAATACAGACTTCTTGTAGAGAAAATAATGAAAGTCAAGTAATTACTCCTCCAGATTTAAGTTTAAATCCTCCTATATTAGGAGAACATAATTCTGAATCTTACTCTTCAAAGTCAGGCCCACCTTCTCCTCTCACCTCATCCAACATAATATTTAAGCCAGAACCGGTAGCTACCCCTCCATCTATGCCAGATCTGAGCAGCTCTTCCCCTGTATCCCAGTCAGATTTAGACAGTACTGTGAGCGCCCAAAATTACTATACCTCTTTTAACAAATATAAACTTCCTAATAAGGATACAGTTAACAACTTAACTGATGAGAAAGATTCTCTTTTAACTTCATCAGACAGAACAAATGTGCCATCAGATACTGCCTCAAATAATTCAGAAGAACAAGTGTCCAATCCTAATATTTCAAGTGTTGTTTCATCAAATAATTCCAATTCAAGTAGTAGTTTTCATCCAAAGCTTAAAAAAGCTTGGCTTCAACGGCATTCAGAAAATACAGATCGGAAATGTCCCGGTGAGTTTGTTCCAAATACTGGTAAAACTGATTATTCATTTAAAATAAAATCAGAAAATGTACAAAATGAAACGGATGATGCTAGTACGTCTGAATCAGGTAAACAAACTTATAGCTCTACCCAATCAGGGAATGATGATGTTGACAAAATCTGTGATGATGGTAACTCTGAGACCACAAACCAGGCTCTAGAATTGAATGCCGATGAAGAAATCTCAAGTTCAGAGTCTGATACTGAGTGTGATACAAAAAGCGGAAAAAGAAAATCTAAGTCAAAAAGCAAATTTCTTTCTGGGTCATTTGGAGTAAATAGTAATGGTAAGAGAATAAAGTCTGAGAATTCTTCAGATCCACCAGTTGATGACCAAACCTCTCCAAAGAAAGAAAAAGATGGAAAGAAAAAGTCAGGCTTGGAAAAGGAGTCCAGCATTAATTCCAGGAAAAGAGGGCGTAAAAGTAAAGTACGAAAATCAAGTAAGTAGTCTTTGGTTCATCTTTAGTTACATATGTTATATTGTTTTTATGTCGAAATATTTTCTAGGTTTTTTTTATTTATTCAAATTTTTCAAATTTAGCATCTGCTTGATTTTTAAAAAAAGTAGGTTTATTATTAAAAGTAGAAATATGGTGTATACATTTGTAATTATACGTATGATTCTTATTTCCAAGATGTGGGATGATTGTTGAATTACCACTTGAAACATTTTAAACTTGTATAAAATTAGGAAACATTTTTTTCTCCGAATGTTTATCTCTAGGTGAATACAGATTCCCTGATCTTGACTTGTACCATTGACCTTTTTATTTTAACTATTAGTTCATTATTTGTTTTTCCTTTTGCTACAGATATAGTTTCTTGTACCATTTGATTTTGTTACAATCCTCATAGTTACAAAGAGCTTTTTTTATTATTAAGCTTTACATTTAAATCTACTCTAATCCTCCAAAAGTCCCTAGGGAAAAAAAATGTTCCCCATATCTATGCACTATTTTCCCTATGAATAATATCAGGGAAACTAGTTGTTGTGTATTTTCATTCAAAGGATTTATTAATTTTTTAATGCATGCATGTCAATACAATTTGTTTTTATAAGTCAATAACTTTTTATTGTCTACTCTTTCTTTTCATCATCATCATTGGCACAATGGGGTGTGCCTTAGCCTTCTCTAAAACATTTCTCCATGAAGTTCTCTTTCTCTTGCCAGTTCAATACCCTAATAGTTTTGAAATTTGTGTTTATGGAGTCCAGCCATGGAAGTTTTGAACGTCTCTTAGCTCTACTGCCTATTTGAAAATCTTATATTTTTTGCTATTAGTATCTAAACGAAACATACCCTGCATATCATTCTGATTAACTTGATAAATGCTATTACATCTATTACTTTTTAAACATCGTAAATTTCTGTATCGTTTCTTTTGTAGAAATTGTCCTCTTTGATTTTACCAAAAATGGCTCATTAGACATTTTTTTTCAGGGCAATCTAGCCTCTTCTTTCTTTGATTAAGTCTCAAATTTCAATTGTATAGGTCTGGACTAGGCGTATAATAGTTTTGTAACCATTTCTATCTGTGTTTATAAGGAGCAATCTAAGGCCATTGACAAATTTGTTTGTTAGTAGTATTTGTTTTCTAACACTTTTATTTTTGCATAATCTATTAGCTACTAACATGCAAATGCTATTTATTTGTGAAAGTTTTTCTTGAATTTATTTCTTAAATGTAGCTGTTAAATTTATTAGTCAAGTGGAGCAATTTATTTAAACTTCGAAAAAAAGTATTTAAATTGTTATTTTAAATTAACAAATTATGTTTATAAACTTTTGTTTTTAAAGTGTCAAAAAATGCTTCGACCATGAAACCTCCTGAAAAACCATCTGTAGCTCAACTGAAAAAGACGGGAGAAGCCTTTTTACAAGATGGTTCTTGCTGCGAAGTTGCCCCAAGATTACCTAAATGCAGAGAATGCCGATTAACTCCACACCAACGGAGTAAAAAGATGCCTAATATTTTCTGCCGTTTTTATGCATATCGAAAGTAAGATTTGGTTATTTCAAACTTGTAAATTTTTATCATTTAAAAACATTTTTAATATGCTGTGATGGTAGGAAAAATAAATAAAAAATTAAACAATTTAAATTAAGGAAACGCATACACATGGTTGCTAACTTTTTTGGTAGTTGGGAGAAATTTTACAATGTGTTTAATATAAAGGTACTAAAAATTTTCTAACTATAAAACTACTTTGCTACTACTTTAAAGCATATTTGTCTTACTATTATCTCTTATGCACATACATTTGATACTACAGTAGGGAACCGATTATCCGGAACGATCGGGACCATCGCTATTCCGGATAACTGATTTTTCCGGTTTTCTGGATCGCTACAAAAAGCCGTTTTTTTTTATTGTTAAATCCAACTAAAAAAATAATATTTGGAAATAATCTTAAAAAGAAGAAAAACCGATGAAGTAATACACTAATGATTATTTCCAAAATGATGGTAAGGTAAACATCTTTCAAAAAAGAAAGAAAAATCCTAAAATCTTATGAGGAAAAAACATTATTTTTTTAAAGAAATGGCGGGAAAATTTACCGAATTTCGTTCCGGTTTTTTGGTTTTCCGGTTTTCTGATTTCCGGATAACGGGTTCTGTACTGTATTATCTCTTATACACATACATTTGAATTTTTGGTTTGTCGCATGATAGGTAAACAGTTAAAGATTTTATTTTTAAAATTAAAATTTATTTGCTAAAACATACATTTTGCTACCAGTAATAAATTTTTTTTCTCTAATCATGCATGTTGACACAGGGGTTGTACAAATTTATGGAAACACTTCTATACTGACTAATTTTTTTCCCACCATATTTCTCAAGAAATACTTAGAGGATTATTGTATAACTTGAAAAGTGTTTTAGGTAGTGATTTCCTATACATATCAATAAAATTTAAAACTTTCAAAGGTTTGTGAGGGACTGGCTATAAATTACAAATAAAAAAGTTTGTTTTTGAATACCTTATTCTAAAAAATATAGCAATAAACTTGCAACTTGTATCAATTACTTTGATTATCATATGCTATAACTGTACAAATTTTTGTAAATGAAGATTAAGTATTCATGGAGATATGAACAGTTTTATCAAAACTAATTTTTTAGCCTTGCATTTTCTAACTATAACTGCAGAAATATTTAATAAAGTTAAAAATCAAAAATTTATTGAGTAATTTTTTATTTATTACAAAGCCTTTAACGGCCTCCTCACTTCTGCCCATCTTTTTAAACATCCTGCACATTGATAAATATAATAATGCATTATTTCAAATGAATATTAAACTAAAACATAAACAATCTAGCTCATTTCACTTGCGTGATTTTTTTAAATAAGCTCTGTACCATGTGTACAAATTACAGAATTCCTTGTGTTGAATCATATTAAAATTAAAAAGGAACACTTATAACCTGCTGTATTGTTTTTTGCACTTTTAATTCATGTGCTTAAATTGTTAATTCTTGTTTAAAACTAATTGTTATTGTTGTAAAATAAAATCAAGTGATATATGTTATAGTGACTGTTTATTGAATTCCTAGTTATATTTCTTTTAGGCTTCGTTATGGTAAAAATGGAACAATTCTGAGTGCAGGATTTTCTGAACCTTCAGATGCAGCAGAAGAAGATTTAAAACTGTGGTTGCCTCCATCTGACTCTCCGCCTATGGATATTGAAATAGAAACCTCTAAATTTTTGCTTACTTATCTTGGTGATCAATTTTGCGATTTAGTTGAAATGGAAAGGGAAGCAAAAAAATTACATTTATCTAATGGTAATTAATTTTTTCATTTCTTCATTCAGGGATATTAAATTCAATTTTCTTTTTTTGGTTGTTAGCTTCGTTTTACTAAACTTAATGTTAAACTTAACACTTAAATTTTTTTTGTTGTAAAAACTGGTTTTTCTTTTGATAAATAAGAAGTTGATGCATAAAGAAAAAATATGCACTATTTTTTTAAATTGTGATCACAAGGGGGTGATATTGTATGAAATATAAAGTTTGTATCGATAACCAGTTTTTAAAAAATTTAAATTAACTAATCCTAAATATTACATTAATATTCCCAAAGTTAACAAGAATAGTCATAAAAAAAAAGAAATACTAACAAATCAGCACACAATGGCAGTGTTAGCTTTTATTTTTAGTTTCATTCATTTTGAGATACTTTTTTGATTGAAATGCACCTTAAAGACTGACAATTCATTTATTTACAAATTCAAGGTGAGGATTTCAAACATGCTCCTTAGCTGTCATAAGCTTTTTATTACTTAGATTACAATTACTGCAGCCTTGTCAATGAAAAGTGTGCAAATTATTTTTAGCAACAACGTTTCAGGCCCTTCTCCATTTTTATTATATCATGATTTAGATTTAATGACCTCTAACTTGTTATTTATTGCCTATACCTACTTATAAATTATATATTTTATATCTTGAATCCTTTTATCTTGCAATCTCCTGACATTAAGGAATTTTTTCTCAGTGGATATGTAACATAAAAATGTAAAAGCCTTTTATACAAATCAACTTTTTTTAAAAAAAAGAAAAAAAAGGGGGGGTTAGTGTGACTAACAAATTTTGTTGAAAAAGAGTTTTAAGGGTAAATTGTGCTGTCATATTATCATAGTTATACTCTAAAAGGCCTTGTCTTAAATTTTTTCCATGTTTTTAGAGATCAGAGTTATAAAGATTGTACTTATTCCGAAAATATATTGTAATTTTTAAAAGTATTTCTTTTAAATTACTTAAAATTTAAGTGTCTCTTTTAATGAAGCAAGCTTAATTGTTTATGTAATATTGATATCATTGACAAACCTTTGTACAATAATTCATTGTACGATAATTAGAAACAATTAAATTTATTTAGCTTGATGTCTATAATGTTTGTTTATGCATTCTTTTTCTTTTGCAGATGATACTATCACTTGGAAAAGGGTTGTTCAAGGTGTTCGAGAAATGTGTGATGTTTGTGAAACCACTTTATTTAACATTCATTGGGTGTGTCATAAATGTGGATTTGTTGTTTGCATTGATTGCTATAAGTCAAGAAAAACTGGTCTCCCTAAAGGTACTTCCATTTTTATAAATTGATTTCATTTTCTACATTCTTATAATAAAGTTCTATTTCTTATATTAAAAATAATTCTCTAAGTATTATCAAAATATATTATTTGTGTGTGAATAATATTTAATTTACGCACACATATTCATTACAGAAGAATCAACCTCTAAAGATCGTGATGATTTTCAATGGCTGTTATGTTCAAATAGACAACCTCATGAGCAAGACAAATTAATGCTAACTCAAATAATTGCTGGTACAGCATTATGGGATGTTAGTAAATCACTTCATGACATACGTCGTAAGTGGAACATTCCGACATACTGTAGTTGTGGTGTTAACATATCTGAGCAAGATGGTAAAAGTTCCTCCAATGGTATAAACAAGGTAAGCTGCATACAATAAGGAATATGTTTTGAATGTTTTTCACACAATATTAAGTTTTTACTATATTTATTTCATATCTAGAAACTGCACTATTAATTAATACCTTTTAATTATCAACTGTATCTGCTGATGTTGGTTGTTTAAATTATTGGTGACTGTCTGGGCTTTATCCTTAACAATGATACAAAAAATTAATCTGGCATGTGCTTGCCCTACACTTCCAGATCAAAGGGGAGTAATAATTTGACATGTATCTCTGCTCTATGCTTCCCAACTGTGCTTAGACTCTTCAAACTCTGAAACTACCAAGAATATTATATTAAAGTAGATATTGAAATACTAAGATAAGATCAGAAAAAAAAGAATAAAATTCAACCCAATACAAAGTAACCATAGGTGCAAATAGAAAACCCCCCTACATAGACTAAGCATTTTATGTATTCAATTCAGATCTTTATGCACTACACCTTTTAAGATGAAAAATTTTAAATTTTTAAAAAAAATCAAGACATTACCTCTTATGATTAACTTTCTAAAAAACTGCATTATTTTTATAATTGAAACATAAAAATCTCATCTTTAGAGACTATTTGAGTTGATATTGAATTTTTAACATTTGAATGCATATCTTCATTCATATATTGAATCATATGTCTTGATATTTTCATAGTTCAAGCTCGAATTTTTAAACTTGCCGAAAAATAATGGGGCTTTTCCGTTTTGCTTGCGCTATAATATTAACTTAATAATTATGACCTGAAAAATAATAGTAAAAAAAAAAAGGAGTTGGATTTACTTTCGCCCGGAAACTTTGCATTGGTAGTTTTAACACCTATGCCGATGAAATGAAAAGGACAAAAATAACTTTTAAAGGCTTCTTCGGGCTTGTCAGTCTAACATCTTTTATGAATATCAAATAATGTAATCAATTTCCCTCTAAATTGCACAAAAAAATTTGAGTGTTTTTCAGAAATATAAGTATAATTTTACCAGCTTTTAATAATAAACCAGACCTTGTCTTAGCAGTTTCTCCCTAAAGATATCCTTAAGATCATTGTTATACTCTTCTATCAAAACATAACATGATATGAATGGTAGCCACATTAATATTAAAAATTAACATTTTTAAAATTTTGTTACATGACATTGGGTTAATTTTTTAAACAAAAATCTTTGCTATATTAGGCATTTTTAATATATGTATATACATATATATATTGCATATTACCCAATGAAGTTGTTCTCAATTTCCTAATATTTTCAATCCCCTTTTGATAAAATTGTTCGACTATATATCTTATATCTTTATTCCTACTGCATCTTTCCAGAATATATATAATTTAAGTAATATATTGCATCGATTCTATATCAGTGTAAAATGTATAGCCCATTTTTTAACATCAGAATTCAAACTCCTAACTTTTGACTGAATGGAATGAATGTTATTAAATATGTAGAACATTTTCTTCCTAATTACTATAGTTAATTCTTTTTTACTTAGCTCATGAGTGCTGTAACAAAGTGCTTTTCATCTGACAAGGATTCGTCTTGGGATAGTGGTGCATCATCCGAGTCACAAAGATCTAGCAAGCGTGGTAATAAGAACTCGGTGAATGGTGTTGTGAAACAAGAAGATGCTGTTGGGGGATACAGCTCAGAAAGCGGTGGGTCTCCTTTAAGTTGGCTTGCAGATGTAGCTCTTAACTCATCAACAAAAAATTCAGATGATCAAAAAGATGGGGATGATGAAGAAAAATCTTCTGAAGGGCAAGAAAGCAATGCTGAAGCATCAATTGAAAGCGATGATGATAAAAACGAAAACTTTTCCACCCTGAGAGAATTACTGATCCGACCAACTGCTAAAATGGGCGGAAAAAGTAGTGGCAGCTCTTCTGGCTCTCAAAAAACATTAACTAGCACCTTAGATGAAGTCATATCATGTGTCATAGAGCAAAAGGTTCGAAAGTCTGATAAAAAAAGTAAAGAAAAACAGTTATTGCATTTTACTCGTCGATATCAAATGTCTAAATCTGGACGTGAATTACCTCCAGTTCGAACCTGTATTCTAGCTGAAAGTTCACTACTTTATCCTGAAATACCTCATTTGTGGCTAGGAAGTGGCAAAATTCTATTGTTAAAGGATCCTTACCACACTGGGAATATGCAAATGTTTCAAGAGCAGTGGAAAAGAGGACAGGTAATGTTTTTAATCAACATTCTTTTTTAAAATTTCATTTAAATTTCTTTCATAGTTTTAGTATATTTAATACAAAAAAGGAAATATGTTTCTTAATTTAAAACTATATAACTAAAGTTTTTTTAGCAACTGCAAGCAAGTTTTTCTTTTTTTTGTAAATTTTTGTTGAAAATTCTAGCTATTTAAATTAGCTAATAGGAAGTAACTGGAAATATTATTTTGATGTTTATAAGTCTTTGCTTTATTCAAACCTTGGAACCAAAACCAAATAATGTGTATAATCTAAATGTTATTATTCAGTTTAAAAAAATAGAATTCAGTTCCTCCTGCTTTCTTTTCTTTCTATATCAAATATTAAATATCAATTTTCCTAGAAATAGTGTTTGAAAATGTTATTGAGCATTAATGCATCTTTCAACTATATGTGGTATGTTGTTAAAAAGTTTTGTTAATTAAAAATGCATAAAAAAAACATACCTTATACTGTTCTGGAGATGTTATTTGTACAGTTGCATTGTTTGTCATTAAGATTAGAACATTTAAAGTTACTTTTTAACCAATTTTTGTTTCTTTTCTTTTAGCCTGTTATCATTGCTGATGTTGGAACCAGATTAGATTCCTCCTTATGGAGTCCAGAAAGTTTTTTGAAAGAGTTTGGTGATAGCAAAACGGATTTTCTTAATTGTCTCTGTGGTACACTTATGCCGAACCAACTCTTGAGAAAGTTTTGGGAAGGATTTGACAACATTAATAGTAAGTCAAAATCAATTGCTTTCATTTCTTTCTTGGTTTTGTTTTGGTACTTACCATTTTCATACATTAATTTATAATATAAATATATATATGTNATATATATCATATAAAACAGGATTAAATTAAAAAAAAGACCAACATCTAGTGTTAAAGTCTTAGTTATTAATAAATAAAAATTTCCACTATTAAATATTTTGATTTATTTAATTTGATATTTATGAATATTTAAATTAAAAAAGTATGTATTCATAAAATTGTCTCTGTAATTATATTTTTCATTTAATTCTTGTAAATGAAAAATAAGATTTTTAATGTTTTCACTACTGTGTCTGTTTATCGAATTGTTTTAAATTCTTCTGTAAGATTATTTTGTGAAGTTGAAAATGCCATTAGCAACTAAAGAGGGGCTGTTTGTGACTCGTGTTGAATGACTATGGAAACTCTTTTGGGGAAAAATAAGGTCCAAAAGCAACGTTTCTTTAACCCTTTGACTGTTAGGGAAATGAGCAGTTTTCGTTCACTTAAGTATTTGTAGTACATAAATAACAGTTTTTACATACTTTAAAATAGTTATTAAATAGTAAATTATAAATGATTATAATCAATTGTATAAATTATAATAGTTAATTATAAATATAAGACAAATATTAAATTGAAAGGACTAAATAAATACAACTAATGTAAAACTTTATAAAGCATTTAAATACAGTAATTAAATAAAAATCTTTTTGTACAAGCTATAAAAAAATTACAGTAATTACCTAAAAATCTTTAACAATCATAATCATCATCATAATTATCTAAATTTCGCTTTTGAGCCATTTAACTTCACAAACACCCTAAAAAACGCTCCAAAATACGCATAAAAGGACTAGGAACATTATGAAAAGAAATTCATGGAACCCCTACTGCCATCTGTAGACAGTAAAACTAACTATATTTGGCGAGTAGGATTCGTTTGTAACATAATCAATGCAGAATAATAATGGTGAACGAGCTCAGCTCATCAGCGCGCATTTGGGAAAAATTTCACTACACGAGTAGTGCTCGTTTCTAACCATTTAGGTCGAAATCTTGCTCCCGAGCAGAACTCGTTTGCGCGCATTATAAAGCACGATTCGATTGCGAGCCGAACTAGTTCATAACCATCAAAAGGTTAAAGTGTCTACTTTTTGAAAATCAAGTGAGTTCTTTGACATATATTGTGACTTAGCCGTGGGTTGTTTAAAAAAAGTGTAATTTAATTTTTTTAGAAAAAGATTGATTTTTTCTAATTCCTTGTTTTTAAATGTGTTTTCTTATCTACGAAAATGTGAGTTTCTTTTTACAGGAGTTTAAAAAAAGAGGGGAGGGGGAAGTGAATTTTCTCCTTTGTACAAAAATAAGTTTGTTTCTAAATTGCTAAAAAGTGACTAAAAATAATAAGCATATTAAAGTATAATTAATCTAAAAATGAGGCAATTAAAAAGGCTTTTTCTTCATGTTTAAACGCATTCCGTAATTAGGACTATAACCCTTAGTAATTACAAAAAATTATGGTGCTAATATGGAAAGATGACATGAATGATTAAATTTCTCAATTATAGAAAGCCACTTACCCAATAATTTAATGAGTTTTCCTTGAAGTTGGAGCTACAAAATATAAAATTTTCCAACTATGCAAAAAAAAAACTTTTTTTCGTAAGGAAATGAAATTTTGAAATAACAATTACACATACACTGATTGACAACGTTTAAAAAAATTTTACTTAACAAAAAATGCATGGCAAAACCTTTTTTTCTTTCTTTTTATGTCTCTGTAGTGTCAATGCTTTAAAGTAGCCTGAACTTTATATTAAAACAGCCATAAAATTATGTAATATTCTGCAGCAAGACCATTGATAATTACAATTTTTTTCAGATATAATAAAAATAAAGAGTGTTTCATATTGATCACCCTTATCATACATTTTTGGTTCCTTTTCAGCAAAAACAAAGTTAAAAAAGTAAACACTTAAGGAGTTGTAAATTAACATTTAAGCTTGAGAAAGAAATGATAGGTTCGATATCTGTTTAATCACAAGTGAGGAAGATGAGATAAAAAAAAACTGAAGCCAGTTTGCTTGCCTGTTTAAATTTAGAGGTGTTTTTATCTCTTTCACATACCCTCCAACTGCTACGGAATTTCCGTAGTTTCAGAAATCTTCTTTTCAGACGGTAGCAAAATTAATGTCTTAATATTTAAAAAAAATTAATTTTAGCGTAACTTGTTCACTATTACTTATAAAAGTGCAGACCATATGGCTAAATTCTTAAGTTCTGATAAAAGTTTTATGAGAGATCCATTTGCTTTAAAAATTTCTACTTTGGTTCGCTACCACTAGAAAGAATTATTTTCAAAATCCTCATAAGTTGGAGGGTATGCTTTCATTAACACTGGCAATCAAACACAGTTTGATATTTTCAATCTTGGCTTTCTCAGTAGTGCATTGTTAGACTTCAATAGCATCATTATTTTCTCAACTTAAATATTAATTGCATTTTTTTTCTCTACAATATCAAGCAGGCTGGTGGTGTGCTTAGTTGAAGCTTCAGAAACCGAGCAATCTGTTTTATGTAAATTTGTACTAACATATTCATGCAAAAATTTCAAGAATTGACTTAGTCAGTTTTATAAATGATATACCTGCCATAATATAAGGATTTGGCACCCTCTCCATATAAAGCAAAAATGTCACAAGCTACTTTAGCAACCTTAGAACATGATATTCCATTTAAATGATCTGAAGATTAACGTAACATAAATTATATAACAATAACATAAATTAATTATTAGCAACTTAGTTGCCGAATGGTACTTTTTTTTTCTTTGAAGTTTGAAAACTTTTTAAAAGTGTATAGTCATTTTTTGTTCTCTACCATACAGTAAATGTTGTACCCATAGAATTTACAGCATCAAATCCCTTAAATTTAAATAACCATAGTACTTGAAAGTAAACAAAAATAGAAAAGATAATTTAAAATATAAGCTCAATGATATCATAAAATAAAAAGAATGTTTATCACTTTTGTTGATCTTGAACTATATTCCAAAGACTTAAATTTCCCAAAATACTTTATAAAATCTAATAGCCAATTGTAATGTTACTTGAATATTTATTACCTAAAAATGCTGTATTAGAAATTAAATTAAGAATTTCAATTACTTAAGAAAACTTTTATTTTACTGTTAAAACATATTAAACAGAGCACAACATATAAATAGGTCACATTAACATAAAAATATTTGTTTTAGTATATAAAAGTTTTGGTTTGTATAACATTGCAGCATATATACTAGTTAAAGAGTTAAATCAAGTGAACTTTTGCTGATAAGCTCAACTACTTTATCAATAACCTTTTTGAAATTTTAATAAGTAGTTGAAAATGTAAAAGAAAAGCACCGAAGAAAATCTAAATTTAATGTTCTCAAAATTATTCATTTCCTCCCAGTTCTCCTCGACCTTTTTGTCGCCTCTAACCGGTCAACATTTGGTTATTTTACCGCGGCCCATTGTAAGGGGGAGGGGACGTTGATTGTTTATATTTTAAATGTTTTTGAGTTCATAATTTGAATCAAATTGTATTCAAACACGTCTTTAAAATAAAATACATCTACATGCGCTGTATGGGTACTGTTTTAGGTGATGGATCTTAGTTATAAGTTTATCTCAGATTAAGTTTTATCTCAGCTCCTAGTTAACCTTTTGTTGCAAAAACCCGAGAAAAACCACATGACATAAATGAAAACAATTTAATGTTCCTAATGAGGGCCGGTACCATCTGATCCACGGACCGGGGCTCGGGGGACAACTGGCTTAGGGGATAGAGTTCTAGCATAGTAAGTGAATAAAGTAAGAATAAAGGAATGAAAGAAAACCAATCAATCAGTGAATGAGTGCTTTAAAAATGAGTCAGCAATGGATTTTGCTTATGTGTGAGTCATTGAAAGACATAAGGTATGTACAGTTAGTTATAAACATGATTTAAAACATATCACGAGCGCCATAAATGACGTTTAACATAAAAATTCTGTGAAATTTAGCCGAATCGAATGAAAATTTATTGAATTATCGAGTTTGAAAAATGTTGTCAGGTTTCGTAGTTGTGATGATATTCCTGATAAAATTATTCTGTCCTGATTTTTAGCATTTAGATCTGATATTTATTTTGTTTTTCTTTCTTTTTGTATCTTGAGAACGTACTTTTTCTTACTAAACTTTATCATATTTAGAGGCAAGATTTTAAAAAAAGTATGAAGCAAGGGGCTTTCAGTATTTTAAATGCAGGAAAAAAAATCTTATGTTATTCAGATTAGTCATTCCAAAATACTTTAATTCATCTCTTAATGATTCGATTTAAAAACAATTGAAATAATCTCAATTATCTCAGATTTGATAATTATTATAAGTGTAAGGATCATATAAAAATATACTTTTGACAAAAATGTTTAGCTTCTATACTCATTGTATTTACATTTCAAGAATTTTTTAACGTTTTTTAATCATTTCATTAAAGAAATACTGAACCAAGTAATGACTTTTAATAAAAATTTATTTGGGGCCATTCACTAATTTACATTTGTAATATAAATTTATTTATCTTACAAATTATTACTTAATATGCTTAATTCTTTAAATATTTTTATAAATAAGGTTATATCAAGTACTAGTAAAAATGCAACAAAAATTTGTTCCCCTGTGTAATTAATGAAATTAAATAAATTTTTAAAATTTTTTTATTGCTAGGGTACTTTATCACCCTCTCACTGTTGCTTGCTAACCCCTGAGTTTGCTACACTCACTCTTAACTGTTCTTATTATCCATGGAGTCTTTGTAATTGGTGGCATTTGCATAAATTTTGAAAGTGCTAAATACTTATATTAAATTGATTTTACATTGTATATAAACAAATGAAAATACAATTGAACAAGGAATAAAAAATGAAAATATCATTAAAAATATGATATATATTTGATTTTTTTCATTTATTATGTTTTTTCTAAAGAATGCGATTTGATATAATTTTTTTTAAACAAAGAAAAAAGACATGCCAAAAAGAGTTTTTTTTTTTTTTTTTTTTTTTTTAATAGACTGGGCTCGCTAGAACAAATGTAATGGAAAACCTCAATTATGTAAAACTATTTTTTTTTTTTTTTAATTTTATAGAACGAATGAAGGATGACGACGGGGAATCAATGGTTTTAAAACTAGTTGATTGGCCTCCTGCTGATGAATTTTCAGACATCCTGCCAACTAGACATGATGATTTGATGAAAGTTCTTCCACTTAAGCAGTATACACATCGAGAAGGAGTACTTAACATGGCAAGTCGTCTTCCAGAATGCTTTGTTCAACCCGATCTTGGTCCTAGAATGTACAATGCTTATGGTAAGGATGAAATCAAAATAATTCATTTCATTCTATCTTCAATCCTAGTCTAATTTTTTTATTTGTTTAACATAATTTAGTTAGTTTTATAACAAAAAATATGAATTCAGACATTTTTTTTTCAAACAGTATTTAAATTTATTCAGGTATTGCATCCATTGCTGTTCTGATCCCAAAGCTTAGTTATCTTAAAATTACTGATGTCTGTTAAGTTTTTGAAAAATAATAGCAGTATTTTAAAAACTGTCTAAATTGTCATTGTCAACAATTTTAAATTATCGACCAATATTAACCTGTAGCCAAAAATTAAATTTGTACTAGAATCGAACTAAAGAGTTACGTTTCAAAGTTTACTGTAATTTTGATATATATATATATATATTAACATTTTATACTTTTGAACCAGTTCAAAAGGTTATTGATCTGCTCTGCAAGACGCTGGTTCATCTTTTGTAGGTTGTCGACCTTTCCCAAGACCCCAAAGTTACTGTGATTTTTCCATTTTATTGTCAGACTTGCTTTACAAAACTACCAGCTTATAAAAAGTGCATGGTGTTTATATTTGATGCAGTACAGCTGTTTTAGCTCTTGTATCTTTAAACACTATATTTCATTTTCATCAATTCAAGTGTTCTACAAATCAATAAGGATCACATTTGAGTGTTTAAGTTCCTTGAAGAAATTAAAATATGGAGAGAAAATTTCTGATCTTTAATTAGTTTCTGAGAAAAAAAGAATTTGCAAAGTCTTTATTTCTGCTATCCAAATGAAATATGGTTCTCTTTCTGCTGGAGAATAATATCATTAAAAAGCATGAATGCACAATTGAGATTTATCATTTATTTAGGTTATTATTCTGGTAGCAGAGACCTTGCAGCATGAGATTATTTTTTGCCTAAACTGTATTTTTTAAAGAGATTAAGGAAATTGCAAAGAGAAAGTGAGCAAAAATAAAGATTTATCTTTCTCCATTTTCATTGAAGGATACTGTAATCTCCCCTTTTTTGAAATCCTAAGGCCGGCCGCACACTGAGGAAGCGAGAGGGAGGTGAAAACCCCCCAGTTTGACTCTCGCCTCTCCACCAAACGGGTTTTCAGGGGGTAAGCTGAAAAATGACTGCACATTGAGGAAGTGTTCGCCTCCTCAATGAAGGCGTAGATTCCGCAGATGTTTGTGTTAACTGGAGTCAAAGCAGATGTTTTTTTACTAGCAATATATATATATANATATGAATGCATGCCTAGCGATATAGAAAATATATTAACAAAGTCTAAATTAATTGGAGAAAAAGGTTTTTTTCATTCTCAGATGACCAAAAGCTATTTTCATTAATTAAATTAAAATGTTTAAAAAAAATTCTGAACAATTTTAGGAAGAAAATAACTTTTAAAAATGAGAAAATAAACAGCTTTTCTTTTTGTTCCTTAATAAAAAAAATTTAAAAAGTACGGTTTATTTATTCTTGAAACTGATTGCTAATTTCTTAACAGTTCTCATTTCTTAACAGTTTTTTAAGAACAATTTTTGGTTCACAGAATTGTTCTTTAAAGTTAGTATTCCATGTAATTTAATTTACTATGAAAATAGCGCATCATAATTAACAATACTAAGGGAAGAGTCTTCATATATATTATTAACCAAATACTATCATTTAAAAATATTTCTAAAAAACTTATCAAAATTCATTAAAAAATAACTTTTAAAATTGAAAAAAAAATTAGAACTGAAAAAGAGCGTCTTTTTAATAATGTGATTAATCAGCTTTGAAGAATAATTTTTGATAGCATAATGCCTGTAATATTAATTAAGAACAATTTCGTGTACTTAAAATTGTTCAATGAGCATTTTTTTAATTTTTGTTCAATAAGCTACAAGTTTATTTTTATTTGCTAAATAATATTTATTTTTATTTGCTAAATAATATTCATTTTTGTTTGCTAAATAATATCTATTTTTCGTTCTCTAGAATATTATCCAAGCGAAAATTACCGAAAATTATACATTCCTAATAAAATTATTTAATATAGAGAAAAATATTATCACTCTCTTCCATTAATGGACTTTGTTCAAGACTTATATAAAACTATAATTAATTTATTATTCAATTAACACTGTACAGTAGGTGATCAGTTAACGAACAGATCGGTTAACGAACACTTTCACGAAAGATTTTTGTGTTCGAATAACGAACACATATTCATATAATGAACACTTTCAGGAAAGATTTTTTGTGTTCGGACAACGAACACATATTCGGATGATGAACAAAACGAATTCTAACGAACACTTCTCGGCCTGAAAAAAAATGTCTATTAAACATTTGTTATCATTTTGCACACAAAATAAGATCACTGAAAGGAGAAATGTTTAAAGCATGCTTAGTATTGATAATTACTAAATGAAACTTGAATTAACAATGAATTTAAAGGTCATTCAATAATTATTATTATGACTAAAATCAATCCTGAAAAAGAGAGAAAAGCAATCCATATTGGACATGTTCTTCAATAAGCAAGTTCCCCATAAGCAAAAAATGAAAAGGACTGATTAATATGCAAGACTATATGTATGTATTATTTTTTAAAGAACTTACTAAGAAGTTCTTAATTTTTAGCGTCTCCAGAACGAATTAATCGATTTCACATAGAAGTCTATGGTGAATCGATGATCGGTTAACGAACAATTCGGATAGCGAACATAGTCCTGGAACGGATTATGTTCGTTAACCGATCACCCACTGTAGTTGAAATTTTTTTGCACATGACCTCAAAAAAAATATTTTTTTTTTCTTTTTAGAAAATGGAAAGTAGATGCAAAAATAGTACAGATCCTATCTGAATTTCAAATTCTCAGTAAAAAATAACTAAATTAATATATTCATAAGAAATATTGTTTATTACATTTAAATCCATAACATTAGATTTATAACTAATATTGTTAATTCAATTCAGGATTGCGCGAAGAGGAGGCGGGATTTTACGGGAGGCGAAAATAGGCTCGAACCTATTTGAGAGGTTTGTAGGAGTTTTTAGTCTCCTGGAGGGAAAAAACTCTTCACTCCATCAATGTGCGCTTGCTAACATAGAAAACTATGGGAAACAAATTTACCCCACCTTCCGCATTCCTCTCGCTTCCCGCCTGCCTCCTCAGTGTGCGGCCGGCCTAATCAAGCCAATTAACAATATGCATTAGGGGCACTGACCCATGTTTGGATGACCACATTTATTACACTATAAATTTCACACATAACATAAAATAATTCAATTTGCTAAACATTTGCAAGAAGATTTCTTTCTTGATTTTACCTTTCATGAGCTTAAATTTTTGACAATTCATGAAAGAAAATTTTTTGTCTGAAATATTGAGAGGAGTTTATCAGATATCTAATTATTGTGCGGGACATATACCCACCACTCCCCTCGCCAATGATCGCATGTATTTTTCTCGCTCTACTTTGAAAAGTGGATATTGATTAAAGTAAATTGTTGCAGTTCAATTTATTCATTCTTATGGCTATTTATTGTTGTTTAAATATTTTATACTGCCATTGAGATGTTTATACAAAAAATAATTTTTTTCCACTAATGTTCTGTTTTAAAAATACTTAGTTATTTTTCTGTATAAATGCATTATTCAGTTGGATTGGATTTATGAAATAAGAGCTATTTTATGAAAATAAATTGTCCTGTCTGGGACAAATGATCCGTCTTGAGTGTGAACTAACAAACAAATGAACTTAAAAGATGAATTGTTAGTCATATATTCTTAGAACTGTAATTATTTTCTTGTTTATGTATATTTCAAAAATTGAAAAACAATGAGAACTCTTTAAAGTTTTTTTTCCCTTCACCAATTAAACATTTAATATCAATTAAACACCTTATAAGTACTAAAAATCAGATTTTCCTCTTTGTTATTTACAGAAAACCTGATTTAAATGTTTGTGTAACTTTGTTAGAATGTACTTTTATAAAACTTTGTTCGAGAAATTTAATTACACAATTATAATTTATATTAATGTTACATGCACTATTTTTTTCTGTCACAGGTATTAGTTCCTCTCTTGGAAAAGGTTCCACTAATCTTCATTTAGATGTTAGTGATGCTATAAATATTCTTGCTTATGTTTCTTGTGATGAAAAAGAAGAAGTTTCATCTGGTAAGTATTTTTGTAATGGATAGTTTAATATGAAGAAGAGTTATCTTAAAATTATTTAGTTGTATAATATTTGAAATAAGGCTTGCAAATGTTTATATTTGAGGCAGTCTTTTGTTCACTAATCTGTATTGTAATTGTATGAACAAATGTTTCTGGAAATGTTTGATTTTGCAAAATGCTCATATGCTATTTAGTCCTTGTGCATAAGCTGTTATATATTTATAATAGTGTTAGCATGTATATGAGTAATACCTTCAAAATTTTTAATAATTTGGTCACTAAAAAATATCTGCCTTTAAAAATACATGAATAGTTAATCTTTATTTTTATGAGTACTACTAAGAAAACTGCAAGGAAATTTTGTTTCCTAGGCAGCAAAAAAGTTATAGTTATTTTACAGAGAAATCAAATAACTAAAATAAGAAGAAATCAAGAACTAATAAGAAGAAATCAAATATAAAAATCTACACATAGTTAATTATATATTTGATTATATATATTGATATTGCTTGAAGGAATGAAATAGATATTTAGCTAGTATCCTTACAATTTTCTTATTTTCTGCTTAAAACCAAATTACTGATTAAAACCAAATACCTTACTACACAATCTCAGGTGTAGAACTGTATCTGTTTGCACCAGTGATAAGTACTTTGCATAAAAACATTCAGAGTAGAATTCCTCTTTCGTTTCTCTTAAATACAAAAGGTTTTCCATGCTTGTCATTCATCAATTTAAGTTGTCTGTGGAAAAAATATTTTCATGAGAACTTACTCGTATTTTAATATTTCTTTTCTCTCTCAGAAATTTGGAAAGCTCTAGATGAAAGTGGGTGTGACTCTTTAATGAAAAAAAGAGCAAAGGAAAGGAACTCAAATCCTGGAGCTTTATGGCATGTGTACAATGCAAGAGATGCTGATAAAATAAGAGATTTCTTAAATAAGGTAATATCTTGGCTTCTTTAAATGTTTTAAATGTATGAGTTACTTCTTTAACTTAATATAATTAAATTTTCCTTTAATGTAGGTGTCTGAAGAGCAGGGAGTTAAATTAAATCCTCATCATGATCCAATTCATAATCAAGAATGGTATTTAGATGAGACATTACGAAACAGACTTTACAAAGAATATGGTGTTGAACCCTACACGATAGCCCAGTGCTTAGGGGATGCTATATTTATACCTGCTGGATCTCCTCATCAGGTATTTTACATAGTTTTCTTCGATTTTTAAAACAGCTTCTGAAACTAGATTTAAAAAAAAAAAAATCTTATCATTTTGGTAGCACTTGGTTAAATAAGGAGCAGTAAAATTTTCAGAATATAAAATAAACAGCATGTATTCATAAAATAAATCATTAATAAATTTTGAGATTTAAGCAATAGAAAATTTATTGCCGAAAAAAGCTTTTTTTTTTTTTTTTTTTTTTTTTTTTTTTTTTTTTTTTTTTTTTTTTTNTTTTTTTTTTTTTTTTTACTTAAGAAGATTCAAGTCATTTTTTTTGAATAATATTTTTACTAAAACCATACACTTTATGTATATTTTTTTAAATCTGTGTGTGAAACCATAAATGTGAACAATATCCTGCAAAAAGAGTGTTTCAACTAATTGTGCTATGCATTTTATTTTATCATTTTTATAAGTTATGTAAATGTATTTTCTGAGCAAAAGGATATATAGTTTTCTTAAGTTTTAGTTCAGTAATTCTTCAAAAAACAAAGTGGGAATAGAAAACAATAAAAAATAACAAAACAAATTGAAGTTGCTGGAAAAAGGATACTGGGGACAAATAACTATGTATTGATAAGAACAAAAATGTAATAGCAAATTAACACATCAGAAGTTTTACAAACACTTCATAACCAAATACAATTTACTACCCTCTTTTTTTTTTCGTTTCCTTAAGTAGTACTTACTCTGTATATAGCGTCCACTGCTATTTAGGTAGAGGGAGGAGAAAGAAACATTGCTAATTTGTTAAATAACCAGGAAACATTCAGTAAAATGTTTTTTTTTTCCTCTGAAAGATATAGTAAAATGTTTTTTTTTATTCTTTTAATGCTCCCAATAAAAAGATAATTTTAATAGAATTCATACATTTTAAATACTCATCCATATTATTTATTACTTGTATTGATGTTAAATAAATTCTTGTGTGTTATATTGTTGATTTTTTTGCAATCTAAATAATTAAAATTTTTCAAAATTAACAGGTTTTGAATCTCCAGAGTTGTGTTAAAGTAGCAGAAGATTTTGTTTCTCCAGAAAGTGTGAGCCATAGTTTTTTTCTAACCCAAGAAATCAGAAATTTATCTGACAATTTGATTAATTGTGAAGATAGACTGCAAGTAAGTATTGAATATGAAGTTTTAGATATTTATTGTTTTTAAATTGAGCTTTAGCCTCCAAAACTCTCTTATATGGTTGTCATTTAAGACAAACAGTGAACTCCTGATTGCTTGTAGACTAGAGTAACAAATTCCTCAGCTAATCTTCAAATTGGTTAAAAGATTTTTACCCACATATATTTTATTGTGATAAGACCAGGGCTGTTAAGAATTAAAGTCTGAAAAATTTGCTCTACTCCAAAAAAGTTCTTTTGACAATTTAAATTATTATTTATCACATTCTAATATTTTTTAGCCTATGTGTAACTTAAGTATTGAAGAAGAACACAAATTGTTGAAACTATTGAAAACTTGGCATTAATAAATGAATTATTAATAAGTTATCTGATAATTTAATCAAATTTATTTAGCTAAGCTACTAAGTTAATTAAAAAAATTGTGCAACTGAATTTAATGTATCATAAGTATCAGTTTCGTGGCTCATGAATATTATCTAAATGTTTTTTTGTTATACGTTTCTGTATGTGCAAATTAGTGTGAGTGAGATTTCGATGTCTAGTTTTTTTTTCTTATAATAGTTTTACACTATGTCCTATGTGAGATTTTGATGTCTAGTTTTTTTTCTTATAATAGTTTTGCACTATGTCCACAATTTTTAAAAATTTATTTCTACAATTGTTAATACAGTAGGAAACCGATTATTCGGAACGATCAGGACCATCGCTATTCCGGATAACTGATTTTTCCGGTTTTCTGAATCACTACAAAAAGTAGTTTTTTTTATTGTTAAACCCAACTTAAAAAAAAAATATTTGGAAATCTTGAAAAAACGAAGTAATACACTAATGATTATTTCCAAAATGATGCTGGGGTAAACATCTTTCAAAAAAGAAAGAAAAATCCTAAAATCTTATGAGGAGAAAATTTTTTTTATTTTTAAAAATGTCGGGAAAATTTATCGAATTTCGTTCCGGTTTTTTGGTTTTCCGGTTTTCTGATTTCCGGATAACGGGTTCTGTACTGTACAAAATGTAATTTTAGATAAAGTCGTACATACTCTAATTGTACATAAAAAGATATTATATATAATTTGAAACTGAAATGTACGAATTCGGTAGAAATTTTAATTGAGTGTAAGTTGCAGTCGAGCTCTCGGGAAAGTCGGAGTTGAACATTTTAACAACTGACTCCTCAGCCCTGGTTAAGACAACTCTTACTTATTTGAAGCAGAAGGAAGGACGTGGGGTGTCTAGATGAAATATCAGATGTGATTATCTCATATTAGCAAAATAGAATTTGACATGATCTCATGCGGACAAAATGTAGCTGGAAAGAATTTCTTTTACAACAAGCATCAATAGCTATTAGAAATATAAATGGTCATTTTGTATTTTATTTAATACTCAACCGTGCATATTCATTTAGTTGAAGATCTGACAAAACCTGGTTCTTCAGCTTCCTTCCTTTTTTCTTAGAAACTCAATGATCAAAATTGCCTAAATTATAATTTGTATCGTAAATAATCATTTAGCTTCAAAAATAAATATTATTTTATGTAAAATAAAATTAGTTTGGAAGGCAAATTATTATTATTATTATTATTTTTAAAATTTGCCAAAACCTGGTTTACTCCTTACTAACTATTCTAATTTATTCAATTCTTTCCATATTGTAATATAAAATCTTGAATAGAGGTTTAAATCAATATTTTCATTTTTAAAACCTGTCCAGAAAGTGAACTGTGATTAATTAAAACAATACAAGAGTAAATGTAAATTATTTAAAAAATATTGTGATTCAGAATGAGAATCATTATCAAAGTATAATTGAGGGAAGAAAAAAAGAAAGAAGAAATTCTAATTAATATCTATTGAGGATTAAGTAGTATCAATGTTGCTTTTCTTTTAAATTGTCTTTTTTGTTTGAAACTTGTCACATAAATTTATTTAGAATCATTTTATCTTTTGCTGTATAAAATCTTATGCAAATTTTGCACTCAAAGAATTTTATATTATAATTTCAGATTAAAAACATCATTTATCATGCTGTGAAAGATGCTTTAGCTTTACTGCAGTCCCATGATCCAGAGGAGTCAAAAACCTGAAGGAGAATTATTTTAAATTTGTGGAATTCTAGCTCATTCAGAAAACTATCTGAAACTTTTGCACACTGAGAATATGTTCTGTGATTTTGTCTACTAAAGTTATGGACTCAAAGCAGAGCTTCAAATTAGGGTTCCTTCCTGCAAGCTTTAAAATGTTCGATAGAAGTCTGCTGGTTTCAGATTTTAGAAACATTTTAAGAGTGCTAGGCATAGCAAACTCAAGCCGGTGGAAAAAATCTATAAAACTGTTTTTACACTGTAGATAAAAATCTTTCCAAGATGTATTTGTAGACTTGCAAAAACTATTGTTTTCATAAGGAGTGTGAACTGCTCATAGGATATTATTGTTTAGAGAAAGACATTTTATAAACAGTGAAAATGAAAAGGATTTATCTTGATGTTTTACTCATTTCAGAGCATGTATGCGATTTGGTTATTGGACACTTATTCACTTCAGTTTCAGTGAACAGGCAAAATTATTTGACAGCTATATAAAGTTTATTTAATATTGAACTGAATGATTTTCTATGTGTGTTTATAAACACTGTCAAAGCAAATTAAAATATTATGCCTTAAATTTAAATTGAGATCTGGTATATTTAATTTAAATAAAACCTGTTGACCAGTTGTTGATTTAAAATATTTAATTATGTTAAGTATAAGAATGTTTGATAGAATTCAAAATTTTAAAAGAAAGTGTATGCTATGAACATGTATGCCTGACTGCTTTTTTGCTGCAGAGTTTAATACTTTTTAAAGGTATTGAAAAAAAATTTGTTTTAAAGTTGTTGAACTAATTAAGTATTTATTTAAACCTATAACTATTTCCTGTGAAATTATATATATTTATATATGTATGTGTTTAGCGTACATATAGGTATATATGTGCAATCAATGTTGTAAAGTTGTGACCGGTTGAATGTGTATTGTTCTTGCCTCCATGAATTGATGATATTAAAATGGATTCCAGATAGGCTTGGTTTACATCTTTTAAACTTTTTGTTCAGAAAGACATTTCTCATTAGCATTACATTTTAGTTCATTGTGTACATATTTTATAACAATATTTTTATATTGGAAATGTTTTCTGTACAAATGTGGTTGTCTATTTTTGTTTCAAATTCCATTTATATATATACACTCATACATAACTTTGTATGTGCGTATATATTCAACTACAGTATTGCTGATAAATTAAAGTGCCGATGTTAAATTGGAGTTGTGCATTTGTTTTTATTAATACTGAGCGGTTAAATGCCTGCAGTACAAATTTTATTGATCTCAATTTAATCTAAAATTTTCTTGGTGGTTGAATTTCTCTCTAGCAAATATATTGCCAAGTCGCTGACTAAATTCTTTTAAAACTTAGACCAAGGCCATGTAGCATATGAACAAACCCACAATACATTATTATATCAGAGGAACATTTGTCTTATTTCTAATAATAATAATATTTTCCCAAGTTCAAAACAGTTTATTGGATCTTTACTTCCAAATATAAATAAAGAATGACTTAAAAATATTTGAAAAAATCTTAAGGTTGTGGTTTAGGATAGTTGCTACTTGTTAGTGTGGTTTTGTCCATATGCCATATAAATTTTCAGCAACTACTTTGTAATAAATACATTTTTCCATTAAACATTGAGACCAGCTACTTTTACAAATAATATTTCTTTCCACCCATATTTTGTAACTATAAATTTACAGAGTTAACTAAATGCTCAAAAATTTTTTAAAGGAAGATTCAATGGCATAATATTGGGAAATGAGAATATTAGTTACATACGGTGTTAAAGTAGCAAATTTTTCAAAGGAGGATTGCTTGAAAATAATGTGTAGAAAGGAGCATGGGCTTGTGAAATGGTTATTTTGAATTTATGCTGTTATTTGGAATCCAAAAGAGTTATTGAGGATGGGAATACTTGTGAAAGTATGTGGTTTTGGTATGGCATGTCAAAATTTCTTGCAGCTCTCCTACAAGCTATGATACTGCTCACAGAACTTTTATATCTTCTTTAAAAGAGCGAATGATGAAAAACAAGAAAATCAGGCTTAAAAAATGGAACTTTTTTTGATGAATTTGGTTTCTAATCATCAAAATGAAGGGTCTTTAACCATCAAAATAAGCCCTAATCTGGAAAATGTGGTCTCAATTGTTAAGTTAATTGTTATGAATGGTCTGAAGTTAGCACCCATTATTTTTAATTTCAAGTTTTTGCTCTTTTATCTCTATTTTTTAAATTAATTATGCGAGTCAAAAAATTTTCCCCACATAATTATGAATTCCGTTTATCCATAGATAATTTCATGGAAAATATAACTTATAAAGATAATTTATTTTTTAAATACAATCATTGAAAAAAACTTTTGAATAGTAAGGTTTTTCAACAAATGTGTACATTTTAAATAATTTAATATTAAATGACAAAATGTAAGCGAAATTAGCCAAATGTTTTCTTAACAAATTTTATTTTTAAAAGAAGTAATATTTTTTATTTGTCAGGAGGAATTAACTTATTTTGTTCGAGTTTTGTCATGTAAAATAATGTATTTTAAAACTAAATAAAAAATTTTATGTCTTACGATTCTGTAGTTTTTTTAATCTAATATTAAATTAAATAATAAATATTACAAAAGAATACATTTTGCACATTTTTATTTTTGGCTAAACAAGTTTTTTTTCGTTCCTTTTTTTGGTTCATTTAAATGGTTTGAGAGAGATGGCAAATTATGGAGTAAGTGAAGTTATATGTTCGTCAACTCCTATAAGTAAATTGGGACCCTGTTTTCTTGATTTCAGCGACCCCACATTATCTGAGGATTTAAAATCTGTTAGAAAGTAAGAGGGAAAAAATGATTTTTTATATCGTTTTACGTAATTTAAATTATTGTTAGTACAAATTAAATACCATATTAAATTTTAAATTTACAGGTCGTTTGTAAATCAAGAGAACGTTATACTGCAGGAGAAACTTTCCATAATTCTGTTTCTCCTGCACTAGTAATTTAAAGTATAAAAAAAAGAGTTGAGGTAAACCATGAAGTTTCAAATGTAAATTTTTTTTCTTCAAAATAACGTTTTTCAAATGTTTTTTTTTTCCTTTCTTAGAAATAACATGTTTGAAACTTCGGGATTTACTTAAACTCACTTTTTTCTATACTTTAAATTTTAATTTCTACAGTAGGTAAAGCAGAATTTTCAATGAAGTGTTTTTTTTTTTTTTTTTCGGTATAGCTTCCACTAAGATTGCATTTTAGTTCTTGAAAAAAATATATCACCTTAAATAACTTTTGTTCAAGTGAAATTATTTAAGGTTTTAAAATTTGTCGAAAATTAGGTATGAGGAAAAAGAACAGATTTTTCATGTCAAGTTAACATAACCTAAACTATTTTCAGTACAAATCAAATAGCATATTTAATTTTAAATTGAAAAGACGTTTTTAAGGTGTTTTTTCTTTTTTTTTTAAATAAGACGCTATACCACGCGAGAAACTTTTCACAATTCTGTTTCACTTGCAAGATATCACCTGAAATGACTTATGTTCTAATGGTAAACGTGGAAATCCGATTATTAGATTAAAAGTTATTCAAGTTGATTCGTTTTTTTTATTGTGGCAATCCAACATCGTCATAAAACCGTCAAGAAAAAGTTTATTTATTCAGAGAAAGGACTTTTTTTGTCGAATTTTGTAACTTAATTAATAATTAGCACATTTAAACCATAATGATCGGCATTAAGTCGTATATATCCGATTATTAGAACAAAAGTTTTTCAGGGTGATTTTTTTATTTCGCACTGTGGTCATCGCTCGTTTTTGTGAGAAAGAATAATCAGTGTTCATATTTTAAGAGTAAATGAAAGAGTTAAGACACAATGCACTGTTATTTTCATTGAAAAGAAAATTTTTTTTTATTTAGCACTCTTCTGGTTTAACACAGTGGCCATCTGATTCTCTGCGAACTGTTCCATGAGGACATCCACAGCCTATGATACATTGCATGGTACATGGGCGAACAGTCTTGTGGTTAGCACAGGTATCAGGACATGCTGAGTAGCAAGTATTAAATTCTTCGCCTTTGCTAGCGTCGCAAGATTTTTTTAAGTCATCCAAGTGATCAGCTGCAATTATTAAATACAGATTAGTCATTGATTTCATTTTTTAAACAACACGTTTCTAATTAAACTCCTCTTGCATTTTAGAAGTTCTTATGAATGAATTTCATACAATCTGTCAATACAAAAGACAATTTGCTTCAGCATATATAAAAATAATATTCACAGGAAAATTAAATAACAGATACAGTTTGTCCGAAAAGTATGTAAATTTTCTCGAGAAACAAGCATAAAATTAAAATTACGTCAAATATTTTCAAAGATATATTTAATAATACCAAACTCAACCTCTTATCCTCCGTTTCCTGCTGCTGAAGTAGGGGTAACTTCGAAAATGTTAACAGGTTACTTTATTTTCTATTGCAAATTTGGATTCTCCAGAACACTATTACTTCAACGTAACGTGCAGGTTTTTGCATTTTGGTTGCAGGTATGGCATTGTATCGGACAAAAATTAAAAATACATAAATAAATTGTTTAAAATGGAGAAATAGTATATGTTAAATTGAAAAAAATGACGAAGCTCGAATTTGATAAAAAGAAATCTACATTTTAACTTTTTAATCTGAAAAGTGCTTTAAATCTTTTGTGGCAATTAAAATTCCGTTAGTTGAAATTAAAGAACTTAAAATTCCATTAGTTGCGTAATAAATTCAAAAACTAGTATAGTATATAACTATGCATTTTACAAGGATTTTTTAAGACAGTTTCCTAAATTAGAAATCTATTGATAAATTGTTGGTAATTTTTCTTTTATTGTATTTTAAAGCAAAGTAATCGACCTCTGCTACAAATTATGTCATACTTTTATTAACTTTAATACTAAAAAAGGCTTAATATGTTAAATTTCTAAAATATTTACTATTTTGCATTTAAGTCTGTATATGGGAAATATAGAAAACCGTATTTCACGCTAATAAATTTAATACTAATGAAGAAATTTCAACTGTATTCGCCATCGCATATTCGACAGAATATCTGAGATTCTTAAAAATTTTTGCACCCAAACTTAGACAGACCTTATTGGACAAAATTTTTTTCTATATGTTATTTACTAAAAAAAAAATCTTGCTGCATTAAAATATTAAATTGGATTTGCGAGAAACACTTCAGGTATCTTCCTTGTGAGATAAACAAAATATGCATGTTCACTGTTAACAATATTTCTCAATGTTAATAATAACAAAAACATGGAAGATGTTCACGATGCAGTGCCATAGAGGAAACTGATTACAATTAATGATTTTACATTACTGCGCAGAGCGCCATTTGTTGAGTTTTAGAAATTATTATTAACATTGAGAAATATTATTTTTAGCATTGAGAAATATTATTAACATTCACTGTGATATAAATAATAGGGGCATATTAGTATATGCGGGTTCACTGTGATATAAACAATGGGGACTTATTAGTATGTGCATGTACATTGTGATAAAAAAAATAGGGACTTATTAGTATATACATGTACACTGTGATCTAATCTAAACAATAGGAACACATTAGTATGATATATGCGTGTACTAACACGCATACACGCAACCCTATAAACAATAGGGTTGTTGTTGTCTTATGCGACTTGTCAATACTGACAAGCCTATTTTAAGGGAGAGTGGTGCTCTTCTTATTTTCCATTGGTGCCATCTATGGCCAAGAATTCGACTTCTGCCACACACATACGTCACAGCCCTTTTTGAAGAGAGGATACATTCTTGTCTTCATTCTAGTTAACAATCTCCCACAATGCACTGCGATGAGGTTCCGAGTTGAGGAAGCATTTTCGTCATATATTTGAGAGCTCGTATTTTGTCACAAATCGCGTGATTTCGAAACGAAATTGTCTTCAAGATTAACGAAATACAGCTCAAGGATTGCTGAATTGTCACAATTGAGAGTTTTATTTCTGAGAGTGAACAGCGTGTTTCAAATACGGATGCTGCAGAATACCAGTGGAGTAGTTTTGGGGAGTGTTACCGTTAAAGTGTGAAATCCATTGTTTCTTAGAATAACTAGGGATTTCATTAAATAACTAGACAAATCAATTAAACTACATAAAATTATTGAATTCTTTGATTTAACCAAGTATTCTATAGAATAACGATTACTTCACAGTGAAAGTAGGAAATATGGCACTCTAAAGTTCTTTGAACCGATTCTAGCTGCTTTTAGTCAGTTTTGAACATCTTATAGCTGCTTTGCAGTATCGTGTGTGTGTGTGTGTGCATGCTTCATTCCGTTGCTTTTGGACGTAATTATTACTATGATCAACAGTAAATTATATAATCAGCTTTTTCTTATTTTTTATCAATTAATCATCCGTAATAGAGATAAAATGTATTTTTTGGAGATATTTTAGCTATTCAAGATCAATCAAGTTATAAAATAACTTTTAAATTTTTTGTTTGTCACTTTAACGGTCTATCATTAGTTATTTCATAGAATAACTAGGTAAAGCATGGAATTTTTCATCTGTTATAAACTTTAACTGACTTGTCTAGTTATTTCATGTTCAGTTCTACACTTTAACGGTAACATGTATATCAAAAGGAGATAACCCTACTCGAACATACATTAAAACTACGATACTAAGTGTCAGTGAAGTTTGTAAAAATTAACCAAATATTACTTTTTAAATTTCTTTTTGTTTGACAACGAGTTATTGGCCTGGATAACCTTAAGTAACCCATTTAGTCTACCCTTCATCTACATAAAATTTAAATTTTGTTGGAACTTACAGGAGAAAACAAACTTACCTTGGCATGCTATAACAAAGATAGCCAATGTGAAAAGTACAAAGCAAGCCTTCATCTTTGCAAAGTTATGTTTTGATCTAACAGTAGATTCTGTAATTTGTTTCAATCTGAAACTTCAATATATACTAAATTTTAATCGTAAAATACCATTAATAATTTATTATAATCTAAAATACAGCAGAAATGAAAAGAGTGATTAAAATTATATAGTTTATTGATTCCGCTGTTCGAATTCCCATTTTATATTATATATAATCCATATATATCCCATTTTATATTATTTATATTGTGTATAAACATACCTTAAACTTAATGACTAATCTTTCAACGACCTCTAAAATTCAGAAATGCATTCTTAAGAATTTTTGACGGAATTATAGCATTAAATAAATAATAGTCATTTTATGTGTTTCACTAAATCTTCTGTTCTTTTTAATCATGTTAGTTTAAATACAATGCACAACATTTTAATTAGATTTCGCCTTAGTTAATTTTTTTTATGAAAAAGAGTCTTAAATTCGTGCAAGTTATAAATTTTTAAGAAGGTAACATACAGAAGGAAATTATTAAGGCCTAGAAATGCCTGTTTAACCCTTTGATACAAATGAGACACCGGAGTCCATTATATATATATATATTTTTCTTTGACGCTCTAATTACAAAAAAAAAATATTTTTTGATATTTATTATATAAAAAAAAAACAGTCTAATAGTTACTAAAAAATCTGTAAGAATTATGGTTGTACTAAATTATAAAATGCAAAAAAAAAAAGAAAAAAAAAGTAGTTCGAATTTTTTTTCCATTTATATTCCATGTCGAATAATCGATTTTGTAAATTACAGAAATTTCAAAGATAAATAACTGTTTCTCTTAGATCTAAATAATTGCTAATAATAAGTTATGAAAAATGATCGTTTGCAGGTGAACCGTGTTAGGAATATTTTACCTTTAAAGCAGAAAAAGACAACGGTGTTTCACGCTGTATTACATAACCATAAATTATCAAAATAATAAAGAAATTTTTTTCACTAATTTTGAGATAAATTAGTACAGAATAATGAAAAAATATGAAAAATATATTTCATAAAAATCCTGCGTCAAAAAAGTTTAAAACACTATCTTGAAAATTAGAGATTTCGTAAGTTGCAACTTGCTGATTTCGATTCCAATTTTTTTAGAAATTAAAAAAATAGTATTTTTGCGCAGAAAATTTATAATTTTATAATTACTGGATAAAGGATATTGACCTCTTCAACTTATTATAATTTTTCGGATCTTTCACAGACACTGTTACATTATTCCTGACAGTGGAAATTTAAATCTTACTGTTATACAGAACAATTTTTTCTAAAATTATATCTTATCATCTCCATGTTATCTTTATAGATAACAGAGGTAGAAACCTCTGTTCGGAAGAAAAAGAAAGTACGTTGACGATCTATCTATCCATCTATCTATGATGATCTCTTTTTCTCTCTATAGATATATAATATACTCCCATCTGAAAAAAATGGATTAGAATAATACAGGAATAACCAAATGAAACGCCCTTATTCTCCTGATTTTTAGGTTAATTTTTTATTTCAATTTTCTCCACGATTTTTAGTTTTTAACTAACTCTTACTGATTGAGTATCATTTGTCAACAGAATACCTTTAAAAAATGTCCAAAGTAAGGGATTCGCTTTATTGCGCTGGGTAACTTTTAGAATTCTAAGAATTTTTGAAATTGAGACATTGAAAATTTTGAGAAATACAGTAATGCTGTTAGTAATTTTGGATAGGTAATTTAGTACTGTATAACGTGTGTTTGTTTTTAATTTTAAAACATCTAGTTTCCTTAAACTGAGGAAAAGGGATTTGAATGAAGTTGAAACATAATTTTAATTAAGTAACGATAAATCAGAGACATTTTATAAAAGTTAAACAACAGATAAGCGTGTAATACTTTTTATAGAAATGATGATTGCTTCATAGTTTTATCTGAAAATCTGTAATTAAATTTAAAAAAAATACTACACGCTCAGTGATCGGAAAGATAGGTTTCTGTAGTTAAGAAAAGGTTTTTCGTTTATATATAATTAATCACAACTAAAATAAATACTTTATAACAAATATAATTAACTACAAGTTTTTTTAAAAAAATTAACTGATTACGAACTACTTTCGAAATGTAGCCATCTACTTAACTATATTTAAAAGATGAATTTAGCTGGAAGATTCAATATACACTCAGGTTCAAACTTAATAAAATAATAAAAAAAAACTTGAATATTATAAGAAAAGATTCTTAAAAACTGGTACTTATTAAAAAATTTTCTTTCAACCTTCAACTTTTTATGACTTCCTTGACAGTGAATATTAACAAAAAAAAAAAAAAAAAATNAAAAAAAAAAAAAAAAATTTCAAAGTGACAGGCCTAAAATGCTTTTTAACATATTTTTATAAATTATTAAAATGTTATGTCAAGTTTGAGCCTAACAACTTTACTGGGGCATGTGACTTGCTCTGTCCCGTATAAAACGATAAACTAATTTATAAAAGTAAGTTGATCAGGCAGAGTTGCATTGCAAACTAAGTCTGACACAAAAAATTAAATATTTACCCAAAGTAGCTTAAAATATGGAAAAAAACATCAATTAAGGAATAACTAATTTCATATGCTATACTTTTACTCGCTAAATACTAATTACTGAATATATATACAGATATGAATTTTTAAAAAAAATCTTATTTTGTTCAAGAACACACTAAAAATAATTTTTACAGCAAGATAGTAAAAATAATAGTTTAAAATTAATGCTTTGCTTCGTTTTAGGACTCTAAATGTGGCTTTTTTATCACCTTGGTGAAAAAGCTCCGAAACTTATATGACCCAGTAGTGTTTTTGATTAGGATGTATCTTAAATTTAGATTTTTTTTAAAGCTTTATGTTTGGCAAAGTGTATATCCTTCAATAAATATAGTAAATGGTTGAAAAAAGTAATAGAGAGTAGATAACAAAATTTCATCTATTCCTAGTAAGTTACAATGGGTAAAATAAGAAGAAGAAAAAATTCCCACGGAATAATCAAAGAAAACGGAAAAATTATATGAAGATTTAAACAATGGTAGAAAAATAAAATCAATTTTTATTATTATTTATTCAGGTGACTTGTTTGACGATGTGAAAAATTTATATGATGCTAGTAAAGATGAATAATTTGCTTTTTGCTGGTCAGTCTGTCTTCTTACATATGCAAATTATCAGCATTCATTTATATGTATTATAGGATATGGATGTTTTAATGGTCTTGTCTGAAGACGAAAAGAATGCTTAATCTAAACATACATTATATTCTTTTTCTTCTGTATGTATACAAACTGCTTCTTTTCAACAAAATAGCTTTTTTTACTTTTCTTAGTCAAAAATATCCTAATAATTCTTATAACTGTTATGATTTCGTAATTGTTTTTTTTTCTATGACTATTTAAGTTTGTCAACGCGTTCTATTCTAATTAAGGAATTGGCATGGAATGCAAATATGAAGAAAAAGATACAGTTTTGTAAAAAAAAAAGCATTTGTTTTCTACTTTTTTAAACATTTGAAAAGTAACTCACTCCAATATACTACATTGTTTATGCATGCAAAAATGCATGGAGAGTTTTTTATTGATTTTAATAACTTTTATTAAAGTATAAAAAATTCACCAAATAAATTTTTATTGGTAAAATTTAATGTTTCTTTTAAAAAAAAATTAAGCTATTAGTTCGTTTTAAAGTTCAGGCAATTCTTTTAAACAAGATAGTTTATAGAGTTTAAAGTTGAAGTTTTGTTCCAAGTTTAAGATTTATTTTGGTAAAAGAGCTTTGAAAAACATCCTTAATGAAACATTTCTATCAGACAGTTTTTCACACACATAAGACTTGGCATAATCCAGCTAAGTGGTTCTCAAAACTTTTTATTTCCATGCCCTTTTAATATCATTATTAAAGTTCAATGCCTAATATACTTTCTTTTTGAATATTTAAAAAATTAGTTAAACTTTTATGCTGTTACTGAGGAGCAGGTAGTAATGCGATAGATAATAATAAAAAGTAGTAAAATGTTACTACTGAATCAGTAGAAAATTTTTAACAGTACAACTATTTTTTAGTTTTAAAAAAATCAAGTTATTTCATATATCAAATCATTTTTCTCAATTTCTTTGAAAAGTAAACGACTGGTTTGTTGACACTACCTGTTCTGTTGACATAAAATGATGATAGAATTTTTATAACTAGTGGGCTGCACCCAGAGGCGTATCTATGGAAGGAAGCGCCTATGGCAAATCTCCCACTGGCGCCCTTCCTAAAATATTTATAATCTCTTTTTTTATGCGATGCGAAATAAAAGCGTTGTTTGAAGTATTTAAGCCTTTTGGCAATATTGCAAAAAAGAGCCGCGGTGGCNTTTTTTTTTTAAAAAAAATTACATCTTTTTAGTAAATACTAAGTCATTTAAATAAACTTGAATTCAAATAAATGACATGCAATTCATTAAATCTATTAGAAATGTGCTATAGTATAAAATCTTAAAGCGTAACAGCACGACTGAGACTCATTTTTCAATGAATAACTAATACCAATAATAAAACAAATAAATTCGTGATATAAATCGAAAATCGTCAAATAAATTCGTAATATATAAATTCGTGAAAAAAAGCGCTTTCGACAAAATACTAAAATAGAGATCTATCGACAAAGACTACTCACTTCTGCCTAGCTTAATAGTATGAGATTGCCGCAGCTGATAGGGCTCTCTCTGGTTATTTCAGTTTCCGCTTTTAAAAGCGCTATATGTAGAGCCACCTCAGCTAGATTTGGCATGTGACATTTTTAGCGG